TTTCAATACACATAAATAATATTATATATAAATATAATTATATCGTAACTATTTTATTAGTTAAAAATTTTTAATTTTATATTTTTTTATTAATCAAATACATATATATATTTATACATATATATATACTTGTTATCTTTAAATACCGTACACAATATTATATTAAAGTTATTATGTTAAAGTATAAATTTATATAATATAATCGTTATGATACATAATTCACTCACTATAATCTAAACACCCTAATGTCTATCTACATTTATACATATATATTTTTGAAAAAAATCTAAAATCATATTTTACTACTTTTTGTTTAAAGACTATGTAATTAAATAAAAAAAAAAAAAACGATAAAATATACGATGCACGTTAACGTAAGAATTTGAAGCGAAGACTATTTGAAAAAGATTTCGCTAAACGAAGAGAAGCTGGATTGAAAATGGGACAAAAACAAAACTCCTCATTGTAAAAGGAGTCAGTGTCTGGGGAGGGAGGAGATAGGTCGCTGACAGAACGATTATCTTAATACATTTTTTTTAAGTATCATACGACACACGCCAAAAAAGGTTAGTAAAACGTTATAAAATTGCAGTCACATAATAAATGAAGAGAGGAGAGGTGATCGTGAGAGTCACCATAGTGCGTGTGGGGTTGCAAATATGTGGTTAACGATTACACGTGTAGTACTTACGCGGGTCATACGACTAGATTAAATCCGTAAACGCTGCTCGGCCGTTTATTAGTCGAGACGGATGAGTGGCATTTGACATAATCGTCTTTTTTTTTTTTTTAAATACCACAATATAATCACCCACGACAAAATGTTTTATTTGAAAAAATGTATCATTTAATTGTTTTCATAATATCATTGAGCATTTATACAACTCGCGGGCCTATCATCGAGGATCGATATGTTTTACCCTCTTCTCGCACAGTCGTGATACGTAAGTACATTTTACAATTATTAACATCAAAGTTTAGGAAATTACTTTAGTGCCCGTCAGTAGTTTACAATCTCCTCCATTATGGCTCCAGACCTGACATACTAATTAATAACATATAAAGAGCGAGTTAAAATAAAATTGTAAGGAAAATAAAAATGAAAACCGTGACACCGTCACCAAAAGTTCTAACTATTGCTATATAACACACACAAAGAAAAAAAAATTAACTAAAATCAAAAATGCTAACAAAAAAGTGCTAAAAATAAAAACAAAATGTGTAATAAAAACTATAAAATAGGTAGTTCGAGTTATTTGTTTTAAATATATGTATGCGTATTATATATTAAATGATTTTCGATTTTTATTAAAATTTCGACTGTGACTAGAATGCAAAACTAAAAATTTCGAGTTCTTTTCTCTCGTTCATAAAAGTTATAATAAAAATAATTAATAGTAATAGAATTTATGTAAATTATCAATATTGAAGATAAAACTWSTTATTTTATAGAAGGTATCTGTTGTTCTCTCTTATTTAATCCCTAAGAAATATTACACAAAACGCAAACCACTCCAAAAAATCTACAAAATATTATATTAAAATAAAATTCTCAACGCGATTCGAGACTCGATGAAAAAAATTAAAAGAAATTCCTTTACACATACATCATAATAATAATAACTAATATAATAAATAAATAAAATAATGATGATGATGATGATGATAATAATAATAATAATACACAATATAATAACTGTACACGGGGGAATGGGGGGTTAATATCTAATACTATAGCGATTACATAATATAATAAACTATAATATCGTAATACATGTGGTGAAAAATATGATATTATCAAAAAGTGAGTTTTTTAAACTCTCCTTTTTCTATCTTCTTTTCTCACTCATGTACACTATCTATACACTAACAAATGCGCTGTAACGAGTTAAACAAAATAATGTTTTTTTTTGTTTTTATAATTTTTTTTTTTTTAATGAACAGGTACAGACAGAGTATGTCAAAAAGAAAAAGATATATAGAATAATAACATGACGACAATCCAAACGCGTCGAACAAACAAAAAACTCTCCTAGAAATACGATTTAATTTGTTTAAAATAGTCAAAAATGTACGCCGATAATACAAAAAATCCACGTAATATTATATATAGATAATATAATATTGCTAATAATATCAATTAATGAAGTATTTCCATTTGTACGATCCGTTCCGTTTTTTTTGTTTTTTTTTCTCCCTTACTTTTTTTTTAAATTTATAAACCTACGCATTTAGACTATATAAATAATCATTAATTAAAAACATAATTTGTTTAATGTTGTACTATTAGTGCATAATAACAAAACATAAAGCATAAAAAAATCACGATTTACAATATATGTATACATTAACAATATCAAATAATATAAATAAAGGAAAGAAGTATAATATAGAAATTAAAACAACTCAACTTGGGCTAAAATGAGTTAAAAAAAAATTAACTAAAGAGTATTCATTCCCGTAAGACAAATGAAACTCGAGGTAGCTTAGGTATTTTTAAACAACGATTTGTATTTGTATTTTTTTCTTTTTTTTGTATTTAAACTTGTGTCCCCCGAGTTACTCGAAATCGACAAAAAAAAAAATATAGTTATACAATAATAATAATAATAACAAAAATTATGATAGTGATGATGGCGATGGAATTGAAATCAAAACGAAACACCCAAAAACGAAAAAATAACCGTATACTATATATTATCAATTTTAAATCTCGAGAWTTTTGTTTTAGTATATATAAWAATTATTAAAACAMACGWTAAAAACTGTTCCTTTCATTGTTGCTTTGTTAATTAACATATAGTACGATTGGTAAACAAAACAAGAGGTAGCGCGTAATTGAGCATCAGAKGAAGAATACATTATAATAATATGAATAGTAATAATAATAAATATAATGTCTATAACCACACACGCGTCATACAACAAATACGCACGCACAATTCACCCACACAATAATAATAATATTAATATCGTTAGGCGATACGGTCGTGTGTGCGTCTACGTTCAACATACAGATAGGTAAAATCATCGTATAGGTTTCAAATAGCTCAAACGTGATATTTTTTATTRTATAATATTATCCATATATCGTTAATAATAATAAATTACTTTAAATAATTGTACTCTACGTATTTATCATTAATTAATCAATTATATAATATGTTGTACTGTTGTTCTAAGAATATTACCATACACACATAATATAAATAATAATAATTAAACCCGCCGGACGTCGACGAATCGACAACACCAGAACGAATTAATATCACACACCACCGCAGACGGACACTTCTTTGTCTGCCRCCACCGCCAACGTTGATGGTTAGCGAAAAATTGTGTACGACAACAATATTATTTATTATTATGAGCTACTCTTCAGCAGGACAGACAGCGGTCCGTGAAAAAAAAATTAATCGATCGCTAAAATTATGTTTTTTAAAACATTWACAACACTACTAAGACTCTAATTATATAGGAGATCGAGAAATAAAGCTACTAATGTTTTGCGCACACAGTCGTGTAAAATTTACTATAAGAACCAAAATTAAAATTGCTAACTCTTTTGACTTATTTTTTAAAATTTTGGAACTATACCTACAAAAAGAAGTAAAAATAAATTTCATACATACGTACACCAAATGCTGCCGACAAATCGTCCTTTGAAATCGAAAAAACGGATGGTGGTGTCTCGTCGTAGTGACGGGCGGGCGGATGAGAAAAAGCTGTCGATAGGGTCCCGCTCGAAGTCTTATATAGGTATATAATAATATCATCCCATTACATAATATTATTATTATTGTACATAATTAGTATTTTTTTGTTCAGAATTTTTTTTTTTTAATTTTTTTTAACGGGGACCGCTGTACAAAATATTTTAACAAGAAAAAAATTACATTACGACGTCTTTTCTTTGAAAATCACTAACACCTAATAATAATAATTAAAATCTTAAGAATAATGATTATTTCAATGTTTTTTTTTCAATAAAAAAAAAACCACAAACGTAATAATAATAATAATAATAATAATAAAACAACTACGAACAAATAATAATAATAAAGAACACCTTGTTTTTTTTTTTTTTTGTTTTTTGTTTTTTGAAAATATGAAAATGCCGTTTTGGTTTATTTATACACACGATTGCATTTAAATAGTTCAAACCAAACCCAAGTGGTTGATCGCCGCCATGATGTCGTTGACTTTGGTGTCCCATATGGAATGGAGCAACTTTTCAATGGCCACCGAAGTGTAATCGGGAGGCGCGAGCTGTTGCTGTTGCAACTGTTGGTGATTTTGTTGCTGTTGGAGCACGGCCGGCGGAGTGACGGAGACTGAAGATGAAGAGGAGCAGTTCACCGCTGTTGCTGCGGCGGCGGTAGCTGCCGGTAGGCGGCCACCGGCCCCGACCATCGTGGCCGGGACCGTGGCCGTATGTTATGGCCACTGTCGGGTGTAGTATACCGCAAGCGGCTTGACAAAGTGATAATCGACGGAAGTGCAGTGCGGACAGGTGACTTTGCGGCTATAATCGCTGTAGAAGTTCAGTCGTTGGTGTGACAACATCAGTGCTTTCTGACAGCCGTTGCACTGAGGAAACACAAGTACGAAAATAACAATTTAGAAAACAATATATGCAGATGTAAAAGCACGCCTGCAGAGTGGAGCAGGTGCAGGACTTTGAAGTGTTTTTCGCCAATATTTTTCGCGTATATATACTTTTAGCAACGCTGTTAAGCTAGCGCATTTTGGTTTTTGAAAGGGATTTTAATTTATTTAAGGCGCTCGTAAAAGTATCGTGTTAGGTTAACGTGTACGCTTAACGTAAAATCACACACGTCTAGTTAAAGGTGATGGCGGAGATGACGTGCGCAAATTATTTTTCGACTTCAAAGGCCGTAGTAAAATTTATCCGTCCTACTCCGTGCGTAGAATCGCTTGCAGGTTTATACACAGCATCATTTTGGTGACGCAAATTAATTAGCTGAACGACGCGGCGAGGGAATTATGAAAGTCTGCTTAAAACTGCATAATTACTTTCACTTACACGCGACAGCCAATCCGGCATTTACCCCTTTTATACCAACCCTGCCCGCCAACTCATTTTCTATATATACCCTCCAGCCGAAGAAGGGTTGTTGYTATTGACGAAAAGAAATCGCTCGGTCCAATTATTATATTCGTCGAACAACTACCTACTTACTACTGAATTAGGGGGTGCAGTGGATGACAGGTTACAGGACAAAGATTAATTCGCGAAAAACCTTATGAAAGTACGATACTAAATAAGATTGTCTGGAGCGACATAAGTAATAATCACATAAAATTAGCATTGTACAACGTGTCCATACCTTGAGTCGTTCGTTGCAACATGGCATGGCGGCAAACACGTCGTACGCGTACATGGTGCCCATAATGAGCGACGAACCGTCCCACTGAGTTGCGCAGAATCGGCAACACAGCTTCCGGTCGGCGTCTTTTCCGTCCAGACATTTCATGCAGACGGCATTCAGGAACAGAGCTCGTCCCTCATTTTTCACCTGCGGGCAAAATACAAAATAACGGACGGGCGTGAGACAGGCGATAAAAAAAAAAAACACTGCAACCAAAATTATTTATGAGCGGCATAAAAACATTATGCTAAAAAGTCTTGGATCCACCGAACCACCACCCCCATGTCAAAGTATTAAACGCGTAGCGGAGTTTGTCGAAAAAACTACCCCTACGGCGTAGCTTCGGCGATATAATAATAAACGCCCTTTTCACGCACCACCGCGGCGGACGAAAGTTCTTTATAATAATGATTTCTGAGCTCGCTCGATTATTTCTGTACACGATTCTTCTCATTCTCCCGAGTGTACTTTTTCTTTTAAGCGCGCACGAGTGTGTGTGTGTGTGTTCGTGTAGTAATACGCACACCGCACACTACTCTGCCGCTGGCGAAATCATTAAAAACGTACCAACGGTAGAAGGTGAGCACGACGGTGACGTGGCGGAAAGAAAAAAACCRGATGATTTTCTATCGTTGTTTTCCTAAGAAACGCGTGGCGGCACGCACTGCGAAGCGGAAACATTACGACGTTTAATGGGAAATCCGAAATCGACATGTTCGGAGAGAATGGAGAAAAAAAACTCACCGCCGACCCTTTTTCGAAAACCTATAACAGCGACAGTGWATGCGTGCGCGTGTGTGTGTGGTAAGGGATTGGAGCGAGAGAAGTTCCATTAGACAAATAACGAAAGCGATTTTCAATGTTTAAAGGGCAAACGAGGTTCAGTCTTAACTGTAATTACACGATGACCGGGAATAGAACACACAAACACACATATACAGAATACGTTGTCCGCCAGAGTAAAGAAACCGGCTCCAGATTATATACATGGGCATAGGTATATATTATATTGTAGACATTATAAGATTATATTATATTTTATAATTATTATGAGTCACATCGTGATTCAAAATTTGATTTWAAAAAAAAGTATCCTGTAGTCTATGTTATTTTTGTGTAGCAATGGAAGGTCTGACGAAAATAGACRACAAAYATAATTTTACGTAAAAACGTAAAAAACCTAAACTAATACAATAATATATACATTATTATGCTATTCGTTTATTTATTGTTTTTGTAGATTTTTAATTAGTCGGGATAAAGAAGAAGATATTATGATTTTAATATGATCCGAGGCGACTTYTCGAGAATACCATGCTGAGTCATATACTAATAGTCATGTACTTAAAGTATATCGAGCATTTCAGTAAGATTTGGATATAAACGGAAAAAAGATCGTTCAAAAAAAAACTGAAAAACGATCTGCTATTAACGTCATTACGGGACTACTGTTTCGGGCAAAGTAGTACCATTAAAAAATTCCTTCGGAAATCTCTTTGTCTGGATATCTATATACATCTCTCTCGTTGTCTTCCGCTTTCCTCTCAGTGTTGTCGTCSATAATTGATATWAACGAGGTGTACGCGTCCAAAATACGAAAATAATTTCTTGTGTGTTATAGCCGCGTGCAGTGGCCAACAAAATCGACGAAAACGTGCAGTAACAACACGTCGTCGACGAAATGGATACGAAAATAAAACGACAACGTTGCGGCGGTGGCGGCGGCACGAGGCGGAGAATAAGAATGTTCATTTCGAAATCGAAATCCAACCGGAGGAGCACAGTGTGCAAACAACACTAACTAAACTCTGAGGGGAGGGGGTAGGTTTTAATTATAAACCTGGTAAATGTTTGCCTTTTTACCTCGTGTTTACTCGTGTGCCAGCCACAGAACACCTGCACACGCACACACACACACACACACRCRCGCGCGCAAACTCACAGTGAGTAGGTGCCCCCGCCGCTGTCGGTATATAGTATTATACAGGAATAATATGACGTCTTCATTGAGCTCCCTCTACTCATACTCTCGTATCACTCTCTTTGCMGCCAACGTCTCTCTGTAAACACACCGAATAAGACATCCCAAAAAACACCGAAAATCTTATACTTGTATATGCACATATTTATGCAACGACGGTTTTTGATATTGTGTAGAAAGAYGAACTTTTTAATTGGAACGCGGGCGATGCACGCACTCTATTGCCGAAACGAGACGGATACACCGACAATCACCACCACTACAACCAACACTGACGCGAAAGCGAAGGTCTTTGTTGGCGATGATGATGATGATGATGTCTCGTTATTTGCGTTTAAAAAAGCCAACCGRAGCGTAATTAATTAGGAAAGCGAGCGGCTTAAAAAGAAACAGCCCTCGCGGAGTAAAAACTTGTTTGTTCAACACACACCACTCTCAATAATATAACCGGGCACAAAGTCGATATCGTTACTCGCAATTCATGGGAGGGTAAAAAAACAATATTTTCGAATGCTCACGTGTATACTACGCGAGACCGATAAACATTTACTTTATCCAATGCGAGTGTTCAGCGATAACATATATACATACATCCAAACCAAAGACAATACCTCTATAGTATTAYGGCAGCATCGCAGAAGCTTTGGGAATAAGTGACGGATCACCATTGTAATGCATAATACGACGCGTCGTCGAACACAGCATATTGTCGTACGAGCTTAAAATATATGTGAACCGAGAATATAATAATAATATATTATGTTGTTTTATGGCTTTTAGGGATTTGTATGCAATGCACCGAGCGAAAACACGTCGAGCGAGGATTATCCCGGCGCGCGGAAACGGCGGATTTTTAGTCGAAACTTTTTTTTTTTTTCCGAAGGATGTGTATGGGGGGCGACGACGGCGTTTGTGTTTACCGTCGTCGTTCGGGGACAGAATAACCGTAGGGGTCAAACGTCTGGACCACTTCACTCCTCATCCATTCGACGACGGATTTACCGCGGCGGAAAGACCGCCGACGATTTAAGGGAGGAATCGGACAACGCACGAGAAACGAAACCGTTGTGCACRCGCGTGAAATATGCTTTGACAAATATTAGCTCGTCGCCTCACGTGCATGTGTGCGAGTGTGTGTCAACATTCACGCAGAACGCACACAAAAAAGGTCCTTCTTTACGGTCAAACGATCACGCCAACGCACACACATGTTTATAAGTCTTATTTCTATCGGTCCTTTCGAGAGCAAAGGAAAAAAAAATACACATAACAGCATGGGTATATTTTACTCTGAAACATTTTTCGAGATTCCGTTGAGTATAATATAAGAGCTGCAGCAGCGAGGGTGGAAATACATCGATGGATAAGTATTCCAAACGAAAATATTCGACGAAAGATAATATAATATTGTCGTATATGTATGATAATATCATACGACATAATCGACGTCGCAATCAMGTCAATTAAAAACGGCAAAAAGAAAGGGTTTAAATGTCCGAAATATATATATATACACGAATCCATAATATTTTAACGCAAAAAAAAACTGTACAGTTTTAGTATGAATTAAATGAATATTATTATGATTATTAAAATATTAAAATATTCACCTCGACAGCGTTTTTGTTATATTGCTTGGGACTGAGGAAGAATGTACCGTCCACCAGCGGATATCGGTCGAACACCAACATGACGTCCGAGCACAGAACGCAGTTGACTCGCGATTGGTTTTGAGCGGCCAACGACGACAAAATGAACGATCTGGTCTCGTCGTTTCCGTGGTTGCCTTCGTCTTCGATCTGAAAAGAGAAAATTAATCACAAACGTTAATGCATCTCAACATATACACGTCATAATACACTTTATGAGCGCTGTGGTGATAAAGAATTCGACCGGAGAGAGATCTGCGACCGCCGGGRAAAAAAAAGTTATTACACCGATCTTATCTACCCACCCGCACACTATAGACTGTACAATACTATATATTATATTATATTGTTATTATAGACACTAWACGTTAATCAAAATTGGTTTGGATTTCAATCAAGACGGATTRCACTCGTTCGGACGCGACTTTTTTTTTTGTTTCCTTTTATTGACGTATGTGGCGAGTGAACGTCTGCTAGCTATACAGCATATGAAACTYATACGAACAGCAGCGGCAGAAGCTACGCAGCAACAATGCGTCTTGGCGTACCATTGTGAAAAACTTTTCCCCGCGCGCAAACGTAGAGTTTTTTGATTAAACCGATTACTTTTACCTCTGACCTGCAGCCGCACACCCGCCGCAGCTGATGCGAAGCAGCCTACCGAATCGAATAAAAGCAGTCCATTACTCTTTGCCGATTTTTTTTTGTTCCCTCTCTGTACGAGATTTTTCGCAAAGTATATTTGTTCAGGAGCCAGCCCGCTCCGCCACCCCCCCACGCTGCGACGTGAGGCGCGCAATTAGTAGGCCAGTTAATGGACCCGACCGGGGAGGGGGCGCGAGAGTGCAGTGCGTATAAACTATAAATGGAAAAATAGATTGCCAGTGGCAGACCTATTATTACACACTCACACATGTGACGTATCTTTGTATGTATATATATATATAAGTGTAAACGGTGGGTTTACACGGGTCGCTTTTAGACGTTTTTCCCGTTTGACGGTGGAGAGATTATATATATCAAAACTTTTATATACCTACACTTTTGAATTAAAAAGCTTTCGTAAACGTCACTATGTGTGTAAATATATATATATATATATATATATTGAAACGTCCATCGCAACACGATAAAAGAGATTAAACTTTAGAAACTAATATTTACTCTTTTATCGTGTACCTATATATATATAATATCGTTATATTGTGATAGCTACAGTTTCATTTATTAGATTAAAAAGGAACATAGGTAYCAACCTCCTATATGACGAAACAAACAATGCGCGAAACAACGACGGAGTAGAAAATGAAGAAGCGCGGCTTGAAGTCATTTTTCAGTACTACTGCAGTATTGGTTAAAGTCGTTACGGATATATTAAACGAGGTACAGGTTTATGGATACACCGTTAAAAAAAAAAAAAAAACGTTTTCGTAAATTGCATCACAAGTAGTGTAAGTGGTGTTTCGCAACTCGGTAATCGTTGCCAATTACCGCGCGGGTGCAGGCTCGGCATTTATTTTGTCGCCTCGTATGCATGTAAAARTAACGGCGGCGAAAATAAAAACGCTTTTGACGCGTGAAAATAAGGAAGAAAACGATATTACCCCGAGACGACGAGATGACGTCGTTCTCGATATTAAACTCCGAAGTTGTTTATTTTACAACCATCGTCGTACATACATACAGAAGAGAAGCAAATATGGGGTGTGTGCGCGAGTGTGTGGCGGCGGTCCAATTTCATAACTGCGGGCGATGAGGAACACATACACGACGAAGTGAAAACGAGTGCAACTCTTTAAAAGACGCTAATAAACAACGCCGTCGTCTCTTGCACCCGGAGACCCATAAACATGAGTTTCCAACGCCACCCCAGCATCCGAGTTATTATTGCCAAAGAATTCTTCTTCTCCACCTCCTCCTCCTACTCCTCCTGATCTTATATATTACATTTTCTCGGTTCTATTATTATTAACTCGGGAACTACGGCGGAAACGGCGGCTGTGCAGCACTACCTGTTCGCGTATTATATAACACTGGTGGGAATACACAATTTTTCGGATATTGGATTAACAACACTTTATATATATATATATGCATGTGTGTGTCGTGTGTGTACACATATACCCCCCTCTCTAAAACACAACCGACACTGATGCACCRCGACCTATWGAACGGAAACGATGGACAAAAAGAAATTCGCATCACCACGCTCTATATATTGTATAGATATATTTGATTTATATATAAACACATATACACACGCCTGCGGATTCCCGCGTGTAGGCAAAATACGAGAGCTGTATAAAAGCGTGAAAACCTGGTGGCAAATCGACCGAAAGTCTGGAGCGCTCACAATGTCATGAATGCAAAACGACGTCGGCGATTAATACTCTGCAAACTCGCGTTCCTCGCGTCCGCCGCCTCCTTAACGAACGCGTATTGTCACCTCACCGGGTGACACACACACACACACACACAATGCATCACCGAAATCGAGAGGAAAGAGCACACGGGAAATACGCGAAATATCTCGGCAGGAGCGACGATGATTGTCTGCAGCCCGAGGAAAAAATAACCGTTCTTTTATCGTACAGCAGTGTGCTCGGCATATTTATACATACGGTTAGRGGGGATTGTGTCGCGCAGTGATCCGTCGCGCGCGTGACCACACATGTGCACGAGTGAGCGAACGCCACTGCTCGTCGGATGGTTTGTTTTCGATGAATATAAAAGAATGGCGAAAGTTAATTAAAACGCTATACACTAAAAGGGAATTAAACCCTTTTCACATCCTCTCCTCCCGGCATACCGAAACCACTCGAAACTTGTATATACATATAGTATATATCTATATGTACATAACACTCATCTCCAATTTAAATTCGTATATCATGTATATGGATATCGCACACCACTTAGTACGCATCATCCGCATAATATACATATTATGTATATATATGCGAGGACGAGGAGGCGTATACGCATACGGCGCGTATATATACGCACTATATATCCGTTCAATTTGTAAATTGAAAGTTTAAGCGTTCGCGTGTTGACTTTAAACTTTGCCATAGTGTTGTTTGCCAAAACATTTTATTAAATACGAGTTTGTGCGCAAAATTTTACCGACGAGATGAGACGACTTGAGTGCACCCCGACGACGATGACGACGACGCATGATGGGTTATGATGATGATTATGATGATGATGATACTACTCTCGGGCGCATAACATGTAAGCGAGAGACAAGAGATATGGTGGCACGGTAAAGCTACAGACGAAAACATTTGATTTTCACAAACAACGCTTTACGAAGAGGCCCAAAACTATACCCATTATGTATATTAAAATCTAAAACGTTAATGTACGCCACTCGCAACCGAGCGATCAAGGGTTTCCGCAATAATCCGACAGCGGTATGAGGCAAGGCAGTCCCTCGACGGACTGCAGTGTGTGTGTGTGTGTGTGTGTGTGTGTGTGTGTGTGTGTGTGTGTGTGTGTGTGTGTGTGTGTGTGTGTGTGTGTGTGTGTATGTGTAGTACATTTTATAGTTCGTGTAATAAATTCATGTTCAAGTTAGCATTTTTCAAAGTTTTGACATGTTATATAACTATTCAATTCGGTAAATTAGATAAATTTTATTTTGGATTTTGAGCCGAGTGACGAATTTATAGATTTTACATGAATTTTTTTTTTTAGATTCATTTTTTTTATGTATGTTGATGAGTCATCAGCTTTAAAGGGCAGTCAGAGAGGGGGATAAAAAGCATATTTTATTATCAACTATTATACGACACGCACAAGTATGTAGATAGAGCCATAGAAGTATATGTGATGTACCTGCTATCTATATTATGAAGAACCTATAAGGCTGTAAATAAGCTATATTAATATATTATGGTAATATGATTAWATTATGATATTATTATTTTATTATGTTTAAAAGATGACTTGCGTAGCACACATTTCTGTACGAAGTACGGGAATACTAAGAATATCATCTTGATAAGAATTGTTATAAATTANTGTGTGTGTGTGTGTGTGTGTGTGTGCAAGTACGAATGTGTGTATAAAAGTACGATTGAGTGTATAAAAGTACGATTGTGTATGTGTATAATATAACCACTAATTTGACCGGCGAAAATTTATTCATTCGAACATCKTGCTAGCGTATACATGTACAACAAAGCGACGTCAAATTATTACCCGAAGCGCAAGAGACAGGGTAAAGGGAAATTATTCATGCACTGTCCGAAACTCCCTCCATCACGCAAGGCGACGCGCCGACCGTGGCCTTTGGGGTATTATGAATTTTGATCTCTGTTCCATTTTTAGTTTTTTTTTGCCCCATCCGCGTCCCACCCCCATCTCGACCTCACACCGTTTCTCATGCACATTTATTTTGAACTACGCGCTAAATCAACCTTTCGGCCGCCTCCATCATTATTGTTGTACACGGCATGGTCATTTAAATTGCAAAGGCTTTTCAAACCTTTTCACAAGAGAACAAAAAATTGTAGTGCGTACTGCACGGTGTAATTTATTTTTAAAAAGCGAACACAAAAAAAGTGTACAGCACGAGCACCTACCCACTTCCAGTCCAGCACACGTTTGAAATTTTAGACAGTCCGATAAATGGAGTGTACGCCGTGGATAATAATAATAATAATTATTATTATATTATCAAATATCAATAAAACCGCTCACACTTTAGTTGACTATATACACTATAGACGCGTACCTATACGTAATTTTAGAGTAGACTTTTTCAAAACGAAACCTTACACGCCCCTTTGGAGTCCGCACCTGCAGCACGTCGAGAGTTTCAAATTAAATCCGAAACTTTAATTGCAAAGTTATAGCAGTGCAGTATATATATTGGTACTCGATAAATGTGTATGTAGCGTGTACGTCATTAAACCGGCGGAAATCTCAAATTATTTATGGACTACTAATATATATATATATATATATATATATATATATATATATGTAGTATGTATATAGCACCGTATTTCCAGCCGCCAATATATAGAGGCGAAATCCGCAGAGCACTTTGGACGACGTTTAATATATTATTATATTGTACATAAATGTTCATAAAAACCGTTTACAGTAAATCAACCTATTCGGTGCACGGTAATCCCTTC